CAAATTTCTGTGTAAACAAGTTAATGGTAAAATAAATGCATCAAGCGGCTTTAATACTCTTGGTCGTCCGGTAGATGAACTGTTTTTGATTATTGGTTGTTATAAAAAATTGTTTTTTCCATTTTTTTCCAGGATCTAAAAATGCTTAAACAGCTTTGTTATTGATGGAAATCCAGTATAAACTATACTGGATAAATGAATCTACTAATTTACCTTCAGCAACATTTACTTTAAAGTCTACTTCCTTTTGTGGCGCTGACAATAATGTCGATAAAGAGATATTTACTTCATTTTGTGGCGATGAAAATTGTGCTGATGCAGACGAATCGTCATCGACATTTTCAAACAAACATTGTCTGAAACTTTGTGGTTTTCTGGATGTATCTGACACTGAAAATTTATTTCATGAGTGCAATATTGTCCTAACAACTTTCATAAGTTTTGTTTGTGTACCAAATTGGGTTTTATGGACCATTTCTTGTAAGAAATGCTTTTGACATAATCATAGGTACGTGAGTAAAAATTTCAAATTGTTTAAATATTCTACTCTTATATATCATGGGAAAGAGGGTCAATACAGTATTTTAAAGGTGAAAAAATTTTAAGTAATTTTATGCGGAGTCCCTCAGGGGTCAATCTTAGGGCCTTTATTATTTTTGATATATATTAATGATATGAATAAAGCTTCTCATAAAATATCGTCAATTATGTATGCGGACGATACAAATTTATTCTTTAACCACTCCGATGTAAAAATATTATTCGATACAATGAACACTAAATTGGAAAGTTTTAACCAATGGTTTAAAGCTAATAAATTATCATTAAATTGTGAAAAGACAAGTTTTACTCTCTTCCATAAAATAAGGCAATCGATTAATCTTCCGTCAAGGCTTCCAAAACTGAAAATTAATAAAAAGGAAATAAATCGAGTAAATCATACAAAGTTTTTGGGAGTTTTATTCGATGAGAACCTGTCATGGAAAAACCATATTAGTCTCGTTAAAACAAAAATATCCTCTGCTATTAGTGCGATATATAAATCTAGAGCCTTTCTTGATTATAAATCGCTTAAAATGCTTTATTTCAGTCTTGTTCATTGTCATCTCTCCTACGCTAATATTGTTTGGGCAAACACACACAAAACTAAATTAATAAGATTACAGAGTATACAAAACCATGCATGTAGGGCAATTAACTATTTAAACAGATTAGAAAATCCTTCCCCTATAATGAAATACATTGTGTACTTAAATATATAAAAACTTAATTCCCTTCAAATATTAATTTTTATGTATAAATATAAGAATAACCTGCTGCCAAAAGTATTTTCTAATATTTCCGGTCAAATACTAATCATAACTATCACTTGAGTAGAGTAAAATCACAACTGTCAAAATTTTCAATTATAATCCAAGGCCCGTCATTATGGAATCAATTAGAAAATAACAGTTTAAAAAACCTGAAAAGCACTTTTTCTTTTAAACGACAAATAAAATTGCATTTCCTAAATCTCTGAAACACATGTATATATATTTATTTACTTATTTATCTTATATACATTAACTATATATATTTGACATGCTTCTGCGTGTTTATTTTTAATCTTCGTTTTGCTGAAATTTTTTATCGTTTATATTTGTAACGGAGTTTTTAATTTATGTTTTTACGTAATATATCTTATTGTAAACTTTTTAAAGATATTTGGCTTTAAATATTATTGTTAAAGGGGCTCTATGAAAAGATTGTGGTGACACCAGTCATCCAGATCTTCTTTGAGCCCCTGTCTGTTTATATATATACACTTTGTTTAACGTAAAATTTTCTTTGTAATTTTATTATTTGATTATTATATGAACAGCGAAATATATATTAAAAAAAAAAAAAAAAAAAAGTACAAGTAGATTTGTTGTCTTTAAATTATCTTTATTTTCTTGTCTTTTTATTTAGTTACACCAAGTATTTCTTTCTACAGTTAGAAATGTGAAAAATATAATGTTTGTTGAAACTTTAATTCCATTTACATTATCTATCATAGCTATTTGAAAAACATTTATAAAAAGCACATTGCAACCCAGATAATATCGTCATTTTTAAACATCGTCAATTTGTTCTGATTGTTACAAACACTGCCTCGTTTTCACGGAATGCTTTTTGAAAAGGTCTATTCAAATTTTTAAGAATTTTATATTTAATTAAGCTCAAGTATTAGTACCGTAGTGGGCAGGTAATAGTGTGGAGGAACTCCGTCTTGTTGGAAATAGATTCTTCTGACAATGCGCTTTCGAAACAATACCGTTGAAAAAATTCTCTAAGAATCTTGAGGTTTTTTAGTTTATGAACTTCAATGTTAAACACAAAGTTTAACATTGAAGTTCATAAACTAAAAAAAGATAGATGTGAAAATATGGAAAAAATGTGAAAATATGAAAATAAATCCTTCACTTAACTCAAATGAAAAAACAGTATATGAAATTCACACAAAAAACAAAGCTGAAACTAATGAAGAACGTAATTAATAGGCTTGATAAAAGCAAGTGTGCTGTTTATATGGAAAATGTTTTCAACCAGCCAACAGCAAATGCTTCCAACTTTTTTTACAAACGAAAGTTTACTGTTTTTCATTTGACTGCATAATGCTCAATATCAAAAAATTATAGTGCAGTCTGATCAGAACTTATTAGTGGCCAAACTTGAAATGATATAGCTAAAGCTCTTTCTGTTATACTCGATCAAATAGTTGCAGATGAATCTCAGGTAACTGAAACTTGTTTATGGAGCGACTGTTGTGTATCGCAGAATCGAAATAATCTTATGAAGATTACTTTAACAATTTTCATGCAAAACCGTCCACAAATTAAAACAATCATTCAGAAATTTTGTGAACCAGGACATAATGTTATCCAGGAGATAGAGAGTTTAGATAGTATTATTAAAAGAAATATGGAAGTACCTGAAGTTTACAGTACAATTGGCCTTGTCAGAATTCTAAAACACATACCTCGAAAGAATCCAATCAAGTTGATTCAAATTAAAGAAAAGCAGATGATGGACTTTCAAACCGTTGCTATGAATTATTCATTGCTTAAAAATTTTCCATATACTAAAGTAAATATACTTAAATGTTCAGCAGATAAACCATAGAGTGATGAATACAAAACTGAGTTTAGTTTTGAATGGAAGTTGGAAAGTATTCTCAACTATAACACCAGACACCAAAATTCAAATAATAAAAAAATTGCTAACGATATAAAGTTTGTACAACCAAAGGTGCTTAAAAAAAAAAAATCTCAAAAGTAAAAGATCTAAAATCAATGTTAAAACTCAATGTTAAAACTCTTACAAACATTCACCTAGTGCTTAATGTTAACTGTTATAAATTTTTATTTTCAGCTCTATTGACAACTTGGTTCTGCATCAATTTTTATTTAACTTCATTTATGAACTTTTGATCAAATAAAAAAATTTATTTTATAAATTTTAATTTGCAGGTTGTTGTATTTCACAAAAATTGTAACCAATAAAATTAAGTATATATATTTTTTTTAATTCTGAAATTAATTTTTTATTGTTTATTATTTGTACAGTGTTTACATCAATATAACTGACCCTCGCGAACTAAAAATTAAGTTTTTCAATATTTTTTGGTTTTATGCTTTTCAAAACTGCATAAAAAAATTTTAAAATAATTTACCATAACAGGGGAACAATAGAGTCCAGGTCTCACCTGCACTGGAAAAGCAATTTAATTCCAATTTAAAATTACTACCTCTTAGGTGCTTAAAACACGGGACGTTTTTTAAGCACCTAAGTTATTGTAAAAATATCAGTCCTGATAAGAATAAAAACTTTAAGGGTAATTAAGCTTTAAAAATTATCAGATGGTAATTAATTTCAACTCTCTTTTGCTGCATTGCTATGTTAGTTAAGCTTTAAAAATCATTGACCTTTAAAAAATATCGTAAATTTCGAGTTGTCAAATTTTGGTTTATCTTTGTTTCCCACCATAGTATAAACTTATATAAGAATACTAAATTTTATTGAATTATAATAAAACAAATGTTTAAAAAAATGTGTATTTGAAAGCAAGTCAGCCTAGAATTGTATTGTTTATTCGTTTTATGTAAAAAACTCGCATCCATATCTTTATTAAGACCCCCTCCCCTCTTCCTTCCTGTTTATTAAACCTGGACTAAAACTCCTACACCCCCACCACCACCTTGTATTAATCACCCAAGAGTAATCATATAAACCGCTTTCCGAAAATCGCCGTTTATTAAAGTTTAAAGAAACGCAAACCAGCAGGTTGTATGTCCACAACTAGCTTCAGTTAGCAACTTTTTTAGATTGAAACTACTCTATTAAACAAATTTTTGTTACTTCTAAAAAAAGTAAGACTTAATTTACTGTTAGACTTAAAATATAAATATTTTAAAAAAAGATCAACTGTCAGTATTTGTGCCTTAAAATTTAAAAATCAAATTACTTCGAATTACTAAAAGTAAAGATACTCTTGGTTCTTGGCTGACAATTTGTCACATTTTTTATTCGCAAAAATATGTTTTGATGAAATCTATTTTAAAATTTTGATCCTACTTGAGGTAAACCATTCTTAATTTTTTCAAAAATTGTTTTTTTCTCTACGAAGGGATTCAGGGAGTTACGAGGGGATTCGGGGGCGTCAACTTAGAGAACTTTCGTTACTGCGCTTGAGGTGTTACGATCGTTGTGTTTTGTTTTTTTTTTGTTTTTTTTTGCAAAGTTTAATCATTTTAATAATTAGTAAATATTAATTAATATTAGTGCAAATAAGCTATTAGTTTCCTCCATGCATAACGGAAAACTATTTGGATTGCAAAAAAATAAAATAATTAGCCATCGTTAGATTTATCAACCAATTAGTCAGCTTTAATTAAAAATTAGTCTAACAACGCGTTATTTCAAGAATGAATTTAAAAAATGCTAGTACCAATTAGCCACAAATTGCTGCAGTTTGAGTGTTGGTTTTAATCAATAGTTGATTAATAATCTATTTTTATAGTTGATTACAGATTTTTAGCAGAATGGAAGTTTTATGTGCACATTTTAGACCTCATAATATGCGCACATTTTAGACGTCATCACTTTCAAATAGTTTTTTATTAAAGCACACACTTTGAAAAAATAAAATAAATTATTTACAGACATATAAACATAAACTAAAATTTAAAAACAAACTTCAGGATCACCCTCCGTTCGTTTTGCATGTTTTTGAATGATTTTTCCAATCAGCAAGCTATAAATGTAAAAAAATCTTATAATGGATGTTTTGAAATAAAAACTTTATATAATAAACTTTGCACAATAAAAATGAAATTAAAAACTTCCATATTAGTCGTAAATTTAAAAATAAGCATTATACCTGACATTTTTGGCTGCAATACCATGCTTCCCGACATGCAGAGCAAATGAATTGAGATTCATTTTTGCATAAATGACAATAACGTTTGTCTTGCTTTTTAAAAGACTTTGGGGAAGAAAACGACTCTACGTTAGATGATCTACTCAATGGAGTTGTTGTTGCTTCGGCTTGTTTTAAATATGTTCGATTGGAATCGTGATTTGTTGATGAACTAATTTCTCCGCTTCTTAATACTTCACTTTCAAATAAATCGTTTCTGTATGGCGAATGTTTTTTTTTTGTAAAATCTGAATTTAAATCTTCCTGGGAAAAGCGCTTTAAACTTTTATTATCTTCAGACGCTCGACTTTCCCGAGAGCTTTTTTCTAACCACGCAGATAAAGCGTTATTTGATCTGCAGTTTGAAATTTCTCTTTGAAATAACTGATTTCCATTGTTATCTAAACCTCCTAGGCAATGCGATAGAGGTGATGGAAAAAGATTTTCGGACATATTAGCTTGCAAAAGCGCAGGGTGAATTGATGATCGCGCTTGCAGATTGTTTAATTCTTTTTGCCTCATTTCTGCTAAAGTTAACGCTGTAATTTCTCTTTCATTGAGATGCGAGTTAAAATATTTAAGCATTTCATTTCTTGCACGCATTTCATTTAGAGAAATATGGTTCATTTGGGATTCGTTATTGAAAAATATATGGTTGTTTCGAAGGTAACCAGAGTTTAATTGGTTATTTAGGATTGTTGGATTTTTCATTATAACCGGGTTGCTCAAGTTTGCAGGACTTCCCGAAGACAAATTGTTAAGAGGACTATTTGAAGAAAACATAAGGTTTTCAATATGCATGTTTTGAGGAACAATCGGGTTCATCGCTTGTACGTTTTTACGAAGATTCATTAACTCTTTTAAGTGTACAGCTTCTGCCAACTGTAATTGATTCTCCATTTCAATAATGGCATGGTTTTTAGCAAGCATATTTTGCACTAAAGTGTTTTGCGGTGCCAATAGCAACTGCTGTTGGTGCTTAAGCTTTGCTATTTCTTTATCGTACATAGCTAGCCTTTGTTCAAGTAATGCTTCATGATATCTCTGATTCATTAAACTGCTACCTTCAAAATGCAGTGGGGAGCTATTAATAGGTGAGCAAAGCAATTGAGACACTCCTTTGTTTTGGTTATCTCCTTTATTATGGTTATGTATTTTTGGACTCAACATGAGCGTTTTTTGTGCATCGCGATAATAACTGTTATTACGAATTTCGTTAGGAGATAACGACATTGACGATTGACGAGTATCGACTGATGTTCCGTGTTGAGACATTAAAGTTATCGATGACTTCACACTTTCAGAATTTGATCGACTTAAAGATTCGTATTTTGGCGTTGCAAATGGAGAAGTTTTGCTACGATGGTGCTCTATAAACATATCTTGTTGAAGTTTAAATTCAAACTGATTTTGAGGATGATTTTGAGTACGATAAAAATCTGTAGATTCCTCATATTTTTTATTTCTATTTGAAGCTGTCTCAACGAAATCATTAGAAGAACAATTTGGAATAATTATTTTTGGCTTGAACACGTCGCATCTTTCAGAAGTTAAAGGTTCTTCGCGATTTTTTAAAGAAGATTCTCGGCTTTCGAATGCAGATGAACAATTTTCAATAGAGTTCTTTTGGGATAAAATGTTCTGTGCAGGTTCGTACAGATTTTTCGGAATGTCCGCATTTTGTTCTTCTTTTATTATTATTGAAGGTTTCCTATCCTCATGATAATTCTCCTGATTACCTTGGTTACCGTTTCTTTTCAACTGTTGAACCAACCAGCTAGACGTATTTTTCTCGCAGTTGTTTGTTAAAAAACTAGTTTTATTATTTTTAGAATAATCACCCATCTGCAAAGAGAACGGTGAGACTTGGGCTGTCATTTTTGAAGGAAATGTTTGAAGACAACTAGTAGAAGAAGGAAAAGGTTGAATTTGCGCAGTCATTTTTGTGGGCAGATCAATATGAGACTCTGTTGATTTTACTAAATCGGAGTGCTTACAATGATTTAGAGAATTATCAGCATAAACATACTCAAATGTGTTGTTATTTAACATATCATGATGATTACACTGTAACGGAACAAAACCATCTTTATGAACACGGTCTTTTAAAATTTCGTCAAGTTTTGAGCATCGCTTTTGTTTTTGGAGATCTTCGCAAGGCAAGCTATAAGAAGGCGACTTGTGCGGTGACGAATAAGCCAAACTTGAGGAAGTGTTTTCAACTTCTGTTTTTATTGTAATTTTCTCGCCGAATTTTTCGTTTATATTTGCGTTTGATATATCATCAAATTTCTCATTCTTTTTTATATCGCTTTTTTTATCGTCAACTATTATCTGTAAAATAGATTTTTTGAAATCATTTTTTTTTTAAAAAGTTAACAAGAAGCTTTAACAAAGTTAAGAGTAAAGATAAGGTTAGAGTAATCCCTCAAGATAAGGTTAGAGTAATCCCTCAAGATAAGGTTAGAGTAATCCCTCAAGATAAGGTTAGAGTAATCCCTCAAGATAAGGTTAGAGTAATCCCTGAAGGTAAATTTATATGTTAAGTACAAAACATTGTATAAAGCTACATTTTGTGAAACGAAGCTATAAAAAGCAAATAGTGAGAGAGAAGAGAAAGTGCATTACATGTTTTAGATGCTTACCGCATTAATGGATTCGTTCATTTCCTCTAAATGGTTACTTTCAGCAAAAGGATTTGACTGGATGTAGGGATTCTTTAAATTTTGCTCGCAAAATCTGCACTCCCAAGGGATGTCAGGAGATAATACTCGTGAATCGATTTTTGGTTTGTGGCAATTTTGATGAAAACCTTCAAAAAAGAGATTTTTACGCCTTTATATTTATATCTATATATATATATATATATATATATATATATATATATATATATATATATATATATATATATATATATATATATATATATATAAATAAATATATATATATATATATATATATATATATATATATATCTTGAACTATATAAGCCAAGCTAACTTTAAAATCATAAAATAGCGTTATATATTTTTAATAAATTGTATCTGTACATATTATAACAATGAATTGAATCAGCAATTTATTTTTACTTCAATATGCTCAATGAAAAATATGAACATGCAGTGTCAATATATAAATGCATAATATATTAACCGCGCAATAAAAAAAGTGAGAGACTGATTAATGTTTAACGTATGGATACACATAAATTAATCAAATTTTCTAAAACATGTGATGATATTTTTAAACATTTCTTTTTCAATACGTTGGCTGGTAAATAGATTGAAACTCAATCATATTTAGCATTGACTGTTTGTTTTAAACGCTACTTAAAACTAACGTTAGTATTCATGTCTTTTATTAGAACTAATGTTAGCTAACTTTTTTTTTTAGTAAATAAAAAAAAAAGTTAGCTAACATTAGTTCTTTTTACCTAAAAACTCAAATTCGACAGTTTTAAATGTACGAAATATTAAAAGTTTCATTTCAAACTTTTTTAACATAAGCTTAAGTAAATTTTAAATTCAAATTCATAAACAATTGTCTTTACCAACTAAACAGTTTACACTAGTTACATCCATAGGTTATCGTTACATCCGTAGGTTTTCGTTACACCAACTTAACATTTTACATCCATCATAGAACTATAGATTATTTGTACACTCCATGTATGTTCCAATAACGAATAGTGTAGCTTTTAAATCATTTTTTATTACTTTACAATAATAAATGTTTAAACAATAATTTTTATCAGTCATTTTATTACCGGGTGTTAAAATTAAAAAAAAAAATTATTTAATACTATTTATAAACAAACATTTTTTAAGTTTATTTAAAAACATTTTTAACTTGCATAGAATTAGTACCAAATTTAATGTAAAAAACACAATTATGAAAATATCGTGAGCAAATTCTGTTTTTTTTTTTAAAAACAAAAAAACAAAACATGATTAGTGCATAGTTGAAATAGCTGTGTTTGATGCAAATTTAAGTGCTATATGCCTGAGTAAATATGCTAATTCATCGAAATCTTTCTTTATAAATATGAATGTCATTATTTTTTCCAATGACTAATGAAACCTTATGCAAAACTTTGATTTTTCCTTAATTCAAAAATGTTATAATATACAGTCAATTATTAAAAATTCTTTACATTGAAAGTAGAAACTTTAAGAAGTTATAATATTTAATAATATTATTTTATATATAAACATATAAAATCATTATTATATATCATGTTAAAATTTTAATTCATCTGCAGTCCTATCAGCAATAGATTTAACTTTACAGCTTAGATGAGTGGCGGATTCAGCATAGGGCGTGGGGGGCAAGATGCTCCCCCTCCTCCGCACCCTCTACGCCGGTGAACTGGTGCCCCCTAAAATATAAGTTTTTCATTATAAAATTCTGTTTTTATTTTAAACAGAAATAGAAAGCTAGATAATAACAAACCATCGTTTACATACCTGCTTTACAGGTTTGCGCACATTTACGGCAGAAAAAAAAAGTAGACGATTTGTTTAAAGAAAATATCTCTTATGTTTTAATGTACACAGTCAATGGGTTTTTAACATAGTTCAGTGTATCAAAACTACTGTGACTGTTCTACTGTGACATTGACTTTCCAAATGGTAAACGACTACCCAAATTGCAAACAATATTGGCGCAGTAGTGTACATACTTTACATGCTGTAAACAGTATTGCGCCGAAATTATTTGCTACTCGTGCATTTTTTGTAAAGGAGAAACATAGAAATTTAAAAATTAACTTCAAAGTTGTAGAGCAATTTAAATTTGTTTTTGTATTAAAAATGTTTTTGGCAAAAACCCGTATGGCATCCCCTGTTTGGTAGGTTCTGTACCCACCGGAAATGATTTGAAAAAAAATTCAAGCTTTAGATTGTTTAGTGCCATAGAAGTACTTAATAGTTATAATAAAAAGTACCGATATAATATATTTATCACAAGTACGAAAAGAAATAATTCTAGGGGTTATTGCCACCTCCAACACTTGTCAACCCCTACTCATTCCCCTGGCCCTCACGACGCTAAACCAATAAATCCGCCACTGGCTTAAATAGATACAGATAATACTTCTACCAATGCCAATAAAGCGTAATTTTTATTTTGTTTTAATTTTGGTAGTGAACGAGTACTCTTATTTTTCTTATCTTTATACTTGATAAATCTAGAAGGATCATCGGTTTAAAAAAAAATTCAATAATATCTTACGTATTATTTTCAAATTTTGAGATATTTTTTAAATACATAAAAATAATTTTACGTATTATTTTAAAACTTTTAGAGGTTTTTCTATCAAACTCGTTTACAAATTGGTAACTTAACGTTAGTAAACTTTAAAAACTTTTATGACACTGCAGACAAGAGGTCTTTGTTATTACTAAGAATAAACAAGACAAAAAATCTACTTGCTGTATCTGCTGAGAGTAATTAAATTAAGTGCTTCAGTAGCCTTTTTGTTTCCCCTTAATTCAGTAGCTCTTTTGTTACCCCATAATTCAGTAGCCCTTTTCTTACCCCTTTCAGTAAAGAATGTACGTTTAATTTTGTAGCCTTCTTCATAAAAATGCCAGAAATCATGTGAAGTCCTCCTAAAAAACAACTTTATTTTAAAAATAGCATAGTGGTGGTGTTCACATGCTTAAAATTTATTGCAATTTACGAGTTGTTGTTTTGTTTTGTGCTTAACTTTTTAAGGGGCAACTACACTCTAAACTTTTAAAAAATTAAAAAAAATAAAAATTTTTGCAGATTTATAATCTGCAAAAAAAATTATAATTTTTTTCTTGCCTAACATTTGTGGTTTTAATTCTAAGCTTAATGGTCATAAAAACATTTGTGGTTTTAATCCTAAGCTTAATGGTCATAAAAACATTTGTGGTTTTAATTCTAAGCTTAATGGTCATAAAAACATTTGTGGTTTTAATCCTAAGCTTAATGGTCATAAAAACATTTGTGGTTTTAATCCTAAGCTTAATGGTCATAAAAATGTTTTAAAAACAGATTAAGATTTATATTTTATTTGTTACCTAATATTCAGTTTCTTATTATATGTAGCCATGCACCCAAATTAACTTTTTCAAATATATAAAAAAGTTAATTTGGGTGCATTTGAAACGACATTAATAATATTATTGGTATAAGTCAGCTATTTAAATTTATGAAAAACATTAAATGAAACCAGGGTAAATGAAACCAGGGCACTTTACTTTAGTTGTTTACAGACTTATAAACAAGAAGTTAATAAAGATACCATCATTTAGAACGAGTGATTAGTCAAATAGTCAAATAGTTATAATATAATAAACTATATTAATAATATAATATATTATAATCCTTATAATATAATAGTTTTTTAATCAAATCCCCCAGAAAATCTTATAATATATATCTTATAATATAATAGTCCCCCAGAAAATAGTCCAATAAGAAAAATTTAAACAAAGGTATATATAATGCATGAAAGTTCAAATGATTTTGTTTTTCAGAATCTATTATTGTATGTATATGTTTTAAACATCTTTTTATTGAAAAAAAAAAGATGTTTAAAACATATACATACAATAATAGTTTATTGCATTAAATACAGAAATATATACATACAAAATGTTTATTGCATTAAATACAGAAATTGCGGTAGCTTTTTTTGATGGATGATAACCATAACTTTTAGACAAGGAGCAAACTTCACACGTGGTTATGCTTATGCTTATATCAAATGAGAATGTTTTGCCAAAAAATGCTACGATTTGAGCCTGGAATCAAAAAAAGCCTAAAACTTGTGTCTTTCTTCCTACCCCTACCCCACCCTAAGCTCAAATGCGAAGGCTTACTGATATTTATATTAATACAATAATAAACTGAATTTATATTTAAATTAGTAATAATATAAAAAACAGTAAATTATTGCCCATAAAACATAAAAAATTGGGGTAGGGTGCATTCATTTAAGGTTTTTTGTTGTTCACACCTCCGATCACAGCAATAACTCGCTTAGTATTCTTATTTGATATAAGCATAAACACATGGTTTATGCTTGTATAAAATGTTTGAAGTTTAGTCATTCTTTCTAATCATCAAAAAAAGCTGCGGTGATCCCTAAAACATTGAATGGTAGCGGCTTCCCATTCATTTTTAAATGAAATTGGCACTTTTCATTTTAATTTTTTTAAATTAATTTTTCCGTTTGGTTAAAAAATTCAAAAAAGAAATTACATTAATAGAAAATCCGTGCTAGATCAAAACGAAAACAAATTTTCTTATCGCCCCGAAGCCCCGAAATCAATTCCGAAAGAAAGCATCAAGTTTCTATAGGTTAGTAGAACTTTTTTACATAAAATTAATAGAATCTTACTTTTTTACATAAAATTAATAGAACCTTACTTTTTTACATAAAATTAATAGAACCTTACTTTTTTACATAAAATTAATAGAACCTTACTTTTTTACATAAAATTAATAGAACCTTTTTTTTTACATAAAATTAATATAACCTTACTTTTTTACTTAAAATTAATAGAACCTTACTTTTTTACTTAAAATTAATAGTGTCGGCCATGAAAAAGATAAAATAAAAAAACACCTACTTAGATCTGTGATTGTCTTAAATTTCATACTTTAGTAGTTATTAAATTAATTTTTTTATTAACAATAAATTATTTTATTAACAATAAATGATTAAGATATTACTGGCTTTAGTAGCTAAAGTGACTTATTTTTTCAGCATGTGGTTTTGGCAACATTTCTTACAAAAATTGTTTTTCAGAACTTATTTTTGATAATGTTTTAGAC